CACTGAAAATAAACAATGCTCTATGGTAATGGGTTGAGATTGTCCAACAGCCCTTGACCTAAGTCCCAGGGTCCCAACCCAAACGGCAGACGCTGCTCCTGTCTTACCTAATTGGAACGATGGCCAGGAAGGAGAGAAAGGAGGAGAGAGCAAAGCAGGTACCGACAAACTTTTCCATGGTGAGCTGATAGATCTCATTATACATCGTGGATGTCACCACCCAGGCCAGAGTCAGGAACAGCTGCAGGATGACAAACACCTTTCCTGTGGAAGGAACAGAGGTTACTAAGAAAATAGGCTGCTCCCCCTCCCTGTTCCCAGCTGGCTGGATCTGTGGGAGCTCTCAGGAGACCCCACTTGCCAGGATTCCCTCTCAGTCTTCATGGCTCATCTCACCAGGACTCCTGCCTCCCTCCAGTGGATCTACCTGTGGCCTGTGGATAGTAGTGTCTTCCTTTGACTGTGGCTCCCCAGTGACTTACTTTCTGAGTCTGCCCCGCCCTCCTGTTTTCACTCCCTCTGCCCTGGATGGACATCAGTGTGATCCTGGAGTATTTGAGATTGCTCCTGGAGCTGTCTTTGTCTGTTTTCTGCAAGTCCGAACCCTGTGCCTCAAGACAAAGAGCTCTGAAACAGCCTGGGCAGAGAATCTCAGAGAGATTCATGTTACTCACCATATGAGGAGTCCTTGATGAGTTTGGACATTACTGATCGAATGGTTGTGATGGGGATGAGAGCAAACAGCATGACGCCTCGAGCTGGAAAGAAATCATCCAAGAACACTTCTCACTGTAGCCCAACCTTGGCCAAGGTGTAAATTAGAATAAAGCCAGAGTCTCACTTAGAATTCCCTCTCCCCATAGCTCCTATGTGGCTTGCTCTGGAAGACTCATGCCCTCTGGGTAACTAGTTTAAGTTGTTCTTTCTAATATATTAGCCACTAGCCATGTGTGGCTATTTAAATAGATTAAAATGAAATAGAATGGTAAATGATGTTCTTTACTTGCACTAGCCACATTTCAAGTGCTCAATAGCCACATGTGGCTTGTGGCTGCTATCTTGGACAAAACAGATGGTATAGAGCAGTGATGGCGAACCTATGACATGCGTGTCAGAGGTGACACACAAACTCATTTTTTTGGTTGATTTTTCTTTGTTAAATGGCATTTAAATATATAAAATAAATATCAAAAATATAAGTCTTTGTTTTACTATGGTTGCAAATATAAAAAAATTTCTATATGTGACACGGCACCAGAGTTAAGTTAGAGTTTTTCAAAATGCTGACACGCCTTAGCTCAACAGGTTCACCATCACTGGAATAGAGCATTTTTATCATTGGAGAAAGCTCTATTGGAGCCTTGGTCTGGAGCTGTCTGCTTGTGGTTGTTGGAGCTGTGTCCTCTCGTGGAAACTTCATTCTGCTTCCTTGAAGGAATGTATTACATTGGGTGTAGAAAGCAGTTACAGAGAATTTTTTAAATCCATTTTTAGAAAGCTCTTGCTTGGCCCAAAATGATTTTAATTAAGGGATCTTTTTAGGTGAGTTGTTCAATGTTTTATCTCTTGAAAATTGGGGTGAAGAAACCCAATCCCATCTCCTCCATCCAAAGCCACTTGAGGTACCCCTGACCATTTCTCCCATGACCTCCTGGAGCCATGGACACCACTCTGGTAACATTTCAATGGGCAATACAGATAACACAATACCCAATACAACACAGATAAACTCAAGTGCATATAATCCTGTCTCCCTTGAACCTCCTAGGTAGCAGATGTAATCCCTGGTGCTGAGCTGGGACACCTAGCGCACAGCATCCCTGGTGTCAGCCCCATGACTCAGGGGAGCAGCAGTGTCTTTGTCCTGCCTCTCCAAGAAGGTCAGACTCACCAATGTAGAACATGTACGTCTCTTTCACAAAACACAGTAGGAAGGCTCCTGATCCAAAGGAGACCATGCCAATCATGATCATGGTGGTGTCCCGGAAGCAGCGGGAGAAGACCAGCACGCCCAGGAAACTGGTGATGAAGATGATGTACCCTGCGGCCATACCATAGCCCACCTGCACCTGGTTCCAACTGAGAGGCGCCCTCAGCACAAACAGGGGCATCACGTCCACTGTGCCCACCACTGCCACGTCATAGATGATGGCACCCAGGAAGAGCAGGACAATCATGGTTTGGGGGGACTTTGCTTTCCCAGGAGATGGGTGCCCCACCACACTCTGCGTGCCTGGCTGATCAGGATCCAGACTGCGATATGTGCCAATCGTGCCAGACACCGTGTCCACAGCGGGGAGTGCCTTTCTGGGCTTGGCCACCGACTCAGGGACCTTCAGGACCAAGAGGCTGTAGAAAAGGGCAAAAGAGGCACAGCTCACGCTGCAGACCGTCAGCACCAGGCCCTGCCAGGCTCTCTCAGACATCTGTTGGAAGAGATGCCCGGAGGCCATGCTCCCACAGAATCCCCCCAGGCCCATCATCAGGTCAATAAAGATGAGGCGGACCGAGCGGCGGCCCTCCGAGGAGCCGAGGGAGCCCAGGGATATAACTCCGGCCCAGTAGGCTGAGAGGCCTCCGCAGAGTCCATTCAGCGCCACGGCCACGTACATCACCTCCACGGGCCAGTCCCACAGCACCTTGAACAGCAGCATGAGGCGGCAGAGCAGGAGGCCCAGCAGGGCCACGCAAATTGAGATCTTGCGGTGGTAGCGGTCGCTGAGCCAGCCCAGGATGTAAGCCGGCAGCAGGGGCGTCAGGCCTGTCACGATGTTGTAGATGATGTAAAAATTGGAGATGGCCTTCTGCCCTTGGTCCTCTAGAGCCTCCCGGGGCGACGGGCTGGCGCTGTGGTTGGAGACTCTGCCCCCGAAGGATTCATGCAGCACGAGGAGCAGCCCCGCGTCGTAGAGGGAGCTGGCCACCTGAGTGGAGAACACCACGGGCTCCATCCAGGTCCTCACCTGGAGGCGAGACAGGTAGCCCCAGCAAGGGCAGGTGGCCTGGGCACCCATGGGGTTTCTGATGGGGATGGAGGCGCTTGCTCAGCGCCCGCTGCTCCAGAGCGCAAGTGCGAGCCTGGAGGAGGGAGAACTACTGAGCTGGGCGCGGGGCGCGAGTGACAGACAGCAGCTAGCCCAGCGGCCAAGTGACCTTCCCGGCCGCGGCCACTCCTCCCAGCCAGAAAGGGCCGCGCTCCGCCCTCGTCTCCGCCCCCGCCCCTGGAGCGGGGCTGGCGGCCGGCCAGGGCAGCCAGGCGCAGGGGAGCGCACAGCGAGTCTTGGCCCCGGCGCCCCACCCGTGGCCGCGCATCACGCTGCTCCAGTGAGCGCGGCCGCCCGACCTGGTGTCGATTTCCCCACAGCCAGGCGTGCCGGGACTTCCCGCAGGTCACTAGGTATCTCCTAGGGCTTGTCGCTGCCCCCAGGCTGCCTCGCTTCCGCCTTTAAGCACACACTTCTGCAAAGAGGATCAGGGTGATGGGTGGTGCAGGGGCAACATTATGTGCCAGGGGAGCGATATGTGCCAATCGTGGAGAGGTGCCCAGGGATGGAGAGTCAAAACTCAAACTTCTTCCCCTGGCTGCTTAACCCTGACGCAGCCAGGCAGCGTGGATGAGCCGGAAACCCAGAGTCACACAAGGGAAGCGCAAGTCTGCAAGGAGAGTCTATAAAGTCACATGGATAATGTACTTCTGGGTGTAGGGACTAAATCTAAACGGGTTTCTGTAGAAATGTGTCCTTTAGGTAGTTTTTAGGTGAGCCATAATCTTCTCTGCCCCTCCCTGTCCTTAGGCAGCCCCCTGTGTCCAGGCCCAGACAACTGTGCCTTCTGCAAGGAGAAAGACCCACTTAATCACACCCCCATCAAGATGTGCCCTGTGGAGCTGGCCTGGTAGTCCCCTCAGAGTTCCCTTCCTTCCTTCCCTCTTTCTCCCCCTCACCTGGGCCCACCTTGGGCGGAACTGGTTTCACCCAACCCATGCCTGGCTCTCCCACTCCATTCCTAACCCTGTTTTTCCAGAGGCTGCAGCAAGCAGTCCAACCAGTCTGTTCCTGTGAGGGCAGAGGCTCCAGGGAATGGGTAGGTGATGGGGGAAGATGGTATCAGCAGTCAGCTATGGCCATGAGAGCAGCAGCCTGGACCAGAGAGCCCACTTTGCTCATATGAATCAGGGAGTTTGGCTGTTCTTGGGGCTGCAGACACTAGAGGGCAGCCTTTATTCTCTCTGGGAGAGTCTGTGGTGTCTCAGTTCTTCCCCGTCTCTGAGATTCACAGGAGATACGGGACAGGTCTAGTGGGATAGTGGGAGCGGCTCATCATGATGCTAGCCAGCCCCGGGACCCTCCAGGCCTGAATCCTCTGACCCAGAAATGAACTAGACCCAGATAGTTGGTGTCTCTCCCAGTTTAGCCTACTCTGGTTTGGAGTGTATTTTCATCATGTCTCTACTACCCCCTCCATCTCCGAATGCAGGTCCCAACTGAGTTAGTACTTGGCCATCCTCTGTGGCTTATGGTACTGGCAGGGTATATATAGGCCATGAGCCCAGTTGAACCCTAACTCTAATGCTTTAGTCTCTAGCTCAAGGTTGAGTTTATTAAAATGCAAAGTTTAAACTCTCTCATCTTTTACATTGATGAAGTCACATATTTGAAGATAAAGAAACAAAAAATATTTTTAAGCAGCTAACATTTACTGAGCCCTTACTATGTACTAGCAAAGTAATTAATTTAATCCTCCTGAGAAGTCTTATTTTATAGGATTATATTTTTAGAGAGAGAGGGAGGAAGAGGGAGAGAGAGAAACATCAATTGGCTGTCTCCTGCGTGACCCCTAACAGGGATCGGGCCCAAAACCTGGGCATTTTCCCTGAACGGGAATTGAACCAGCAACCTTTCTGTGCACAGGATGACACTCAACCTACTGAGCCACACCCAAGAAGTCTTTAAGCTAGTCCATCCTCTCATTTTCTGGGTGGAGAAATTGAAGCCAGTAAGTAATTTGCACAAGATCACAAAGCCAGTAAATTGGGGAGCCAGTATTTGGCAGCAGTCTTTAAAAGCCTATGGCTATGGGGCGTTTTGTTTGAGGGTGTCCTCTCAACCAACATAGGAATGTGGAGAGGAGCAGAGACATCTTGGTCATTTTGAAATGATCAGTGATTAACAATGTGTTGCATAAATGGAGAGGAACAAGAGGAGTGGATGGAAGCTTGTTTATTGAACGTACATCCTAGGCACTTTACAACCAGGTAGGAAATACTTTTATTTTATTAACAGCTGGCCCCAAAATTCAATTTAGAAAGGAGTAGTCTCTGTTTGGAAAATACCTTTGGTCAGTTAGAAGGTGAAATGCCCTGGCCTGGATTCCAGCTGTGGAGGAGGCTCCAGAGTGGGGGTGGAACCTCTGTTTCTGAGTCAAAGAGAGGAAGTTGTCTGATGTGTTGGGGAGGGAGGGGTGGGAGAGAGAGCAGAGGAGGGAGAAGGGAGAGAGGGAGGGAAAGAGGTGTGGGGAGGAGGACTAATGGTGAGAAGGGCCAGGACAGGAACCCTGGTATCAGAGTGCTCAGAGGGACCTTAGCAGGGTAGGACTGTCTCATATGGGTGTTGAACAGCTTGTGGAGTCATGTGTAGAACAATCCTTCCCAAGACTTCTCCCTGCCTCCTCAGGTCTTTAGCAGAGTCTGCTCAGGAAAGGTTTGTGTGAGTGGGATTTTTTTATTTTTCATTTTGGAGGCTATCAGTGAAGCAGCTGTGATTCGTGTCTGGATTGACATATATTGAGCAGAGATCATGAGGAAGCAAGTGGAAGAGGAGTCTACAGGAACACAAGGATTTGCTGAAATCTTAGATGGGCTTAGGACTTTCACAGTGATGGGCATGGGGAGTCAAGCCATCTGACCCAGATCTTAAAGGCCAAAGAAACACCTACCGCTGACGTGCAGGCTGCACCGATGAAGAAGGTGTTGTTCTTTTTATTGTTGATATTTTAGGAGTTAGGATCAGCCTTTCCCTGAGACATTGCAATGCGAGGAAAATAAGATACCTTCCGAAACATAAATATATACTAGAACAAAATGAAGACATGCAAACTCATCTTAGGACGTGGGGACAAACCCTGTCCGTCACCACTTCTTCTGAGGGTTTTCCAGTGGCTGGCCCATCACCACAGCAAGCGGCAGCCCAACTCCCCTTGCCTGATCGCAACAATCTTCTAGTTATGATTGTCCATCCCACATACAGTTGCACACAGGAAGAAAATGTGATAGGTACTTGGATACTCCAAAAAATGTCTCATGGTAAATGAGTAAGTTGACATTCTGATTACTGCATCTACCTGTCTCATTTGGTTAATTACATGTGAGCCTCTGTCTGGGAAATGGCTTCCCTCTCCATGTGATGATGAAATGAAGTTGTTGTTTTCATTTTGTCAGGCTGAGAATGAGGCCCTATCTATAAGTTTATCAAAATGATGAATGTTACATATGGATACTCTTGGGAGATTGTTTCATTGGCCTTTCCCCCTTGAGGTGTCACTCTAACATTACCCAATTTTAGAGATGAGGAAACTAAGACTCAGGGTAGCTAAATAATTTGCACAAGGTTCACACAGAGCCAAGATGCAAATCTGGGTTTGTGACTTCCGAGTGTATGTTATTTTCACAATGCTCCATTTTTTATGTAGTTGAACAGAAGAGATATGTTTTACAAAGGCGCTTGTTTGTTAAATACTTTCCATCAAATACTGTGAGTTTATTCCTAAGATATATTCAAATAAAGTGGTTCATTTATTCGTTCATTCATCTATAATTTACTATCTACTTATCTATCCATCTATTTACAGAAATATTTTGAGTATCAGGCCTACTAGTAGGTACCAGGGATACAAACTTCTTTGCCCTCAAAGATCTTGCAGTCTGTCCTAGCTGATGTTGCTCAGTGGTTAAAGCGTTGGCCCAAGCACCAAAAGGTCACTGGTTGGATTCCCGGTCAAAGGCATGTACCTGGGTTGCAGGTTTGATCCTCGGCCCCAAGCAGGTGCATGGGGTAGGCAACCAATTAATGTGTCTCTCTCACATCAATGTCTCTCTCTACCTCTCTCTCTCTTCCCCTCCCTTGCTCCCTTCTACTCTCTCTAAAAGTCAATAAAAAAAAAAAATCCTCCAGTGAGGCTTAACAACACAAAAAATTATCAAAAGGCACTTGTACTAACACTCCAACTTCTGTTTTACATGTGATGTCATGACGACAGGCCATGCCTCCTCTTGCATCAAAGACTGGCTTTGTGGGATTCCTCTCCACCCCAATCTCTGCTACCAACTTGAATAACCTCATGAACAACCTGTTCAACACTGTAGAAGAAGAAAGACATCTGTTGTTTTTGCTGGCCAGCATACATTGACTCTTCTGGGAACAACACTCCATTTTTGTTTGGATGAAAATCCTCCAGCTGAATATGGGACTCAGGTCTGACCAATCCCAGCAATGCATGCCTGTGATCATAGTGATTGGTTCAAAGATGGGAATGTGACCCGAATTTGGACCAATCAGAATAAGGCCCAGGATTAAAGCTTAGTTAGGCTTATTCTTTTCTACTCTGTCTTGGACTGATGAGGATGAAAGCCTGAAGTTGCTGGAAGCTGTTTTGCTACCACTAGAGAGGCGTTTACCAGAGATCGGAGTGCACACAGAGAACAGAGGAGCTGAAAGATGGAGAGAGTCCAGATCCTAATGACATCATGAGAGCTGTGCCTGAAGCTAAATTATCCCTTGACTTTTTAAGAACAAAGCCTTCTACATTCCCTTTCCAAGTTTGATTTGGGTTTTCTATCAATTGCAAATAAAAGAGATTTGATGGAGTCAAACCCAAGGCCTTTCATCGTTAGTGACTTCCACCCTTGTTCAGCCACAGACTCCCTTGGATCCTGTATCTGATCAACTGTACTGTGCCAACTCCAAAGTCATTAATTCAAACACCCCACTCTCTGCCTACAGCATCCTCTCCTTCTGTGTTGCTTGTTCAACTACTCCCACTTTAATGATTCTTTGATGTTATCAGGATCCATGTACCCCTACACTAATATATGATTTTCCAAACAAGTAGTTTTTCCTTTCTTCTCTTCCTCCAAATTAGATTTTATGGTACATCATTTTAGCAATATCCTTTTCAGTAGATCAAACTCTCTGGTTCTTCTATGTTTTCAATGCATGTCAACCTTGGATTAACCCAATTATGGGCTGGCATTCTAGTAGCGGAGGACTGCTGGGGGAAGTCTCACAATAGGGCAGATTTTAACTATAAATTTACAAAATCGAATCTCGAATAAGCCCTCAAAGCTACCCAGCAGTCCTGTGATGTTTCTCCAGCCAACTCTCACTCTTTTGTTCTCCAAAAGTATAAGTTCAGAAATTAGTGATTCCCTTCAAACTTTCAAACTCTTCTACTATTTTCTATTTTATTTCTAGCTCTATCATGTCACTGAAACAGATTTTTTCTGAGGTCATCAGTCATTCTGTGTCATTAAATTCAATGGACATTTTCAGTCCTCATCTTACTTGACTCTGAGCAACCTTTGAGAGTTTTGACCTCTTTCCTAAACCACTGAGGGTTTATACTCTTGCTTTGGTAGCACCACACCTCCTGGCTGATCTCTTTTCTCTCTGGCCACTCCTCTCATCTTTGGAGACTCATCAAACTCTAACCAGTCTTTAAAGTTAGAATTCATATGGCTCAACCATGGGCTTTCTTCTTATTGTCTTATGTAAACAATCTCATCTACACGTATAGTTTCAACTACCATTTATATGTAGCTGACTCATTAAGTTGTGTCTACAATTCAGATCTTTCTCTGAGCTCCTGACTCACATATCAATTACCTACTTGTTATCTTTTCAATGTATAGAAGACCAAACTCATAGTCTCCTTTCCTCACCCCCATGACAGTGTTCTCTATCATTGTGAATAGCACTACATGCAAACAGATGTGTAAGTTAGAAAGGTATCTTTGATATCTTTCTCTAGCCTTTTTAAATGCAATTCTTTATCAGATCATGTTTATTTAACCTCTTAAATATCTCTGGAATTCATAAATTTTTTCCCACTTTCATATCAGCGCCCTAGTTCAAAGTATCATTTTCTCTTGCTTGGCCCACACAATAAACTGCTAATATTTTATATGTATCCACTTTATTCCTCTCCAATACTGAAACCAGATTTATCTTTTCAAAATACATATCTTATTCTAAAACCAAATCCTCTTACCATGTCTGCCAGCCTTGCACTGTCTGGTAATTACCTTCCTTTGCACCTTCATCTTGTACCAGGCTGTCTCTTGTTTCTACTCCAGCCATATTGGCTTCCTATTTCTCAGATGATCTTTGCTCCTTCTACACAGGCCTTTGCACATGCCATTCCTTCTATCTACAACCTGCTAAAATCCTGTTTTGCCTAGTTAACATCTAGCTATCCTTTGGGTCTCAGCATACATGCCACTTCCTTGGGAAAATATTTCCTGACTTTTCTGGCTAAATCATTTATTCCACCCATCCCCATTATAGGGTTTCTTAGTACTTCGTAAGACCTCTTCTTATCACAGTTGAACTTTTCACATTTGTTTTGGTGATAAATTTGATTCATGTCTTTTGGCTGTAACATTAGACTGTAAAATCAATGAGGGCTGGGCCCATATTTTGGTTGACATCAAGCCCCAGAGCCCAACACATTGTCTGGTGCTTAGATGGCACGCAGTCAATATTTGATAAACAGTGAATAAAGATCTACTTTATTCCATTGTCTGGGGAACCCATGGGTTTAGACTTTCAGAAAAATTAAGTGTCAGTCACTATTTAGAACAGCCTCCTAACGAACCTGAGGCCCCAAATCCACAGTTGGTAAGGATGAGTCTTCCAATTCCATGACTCAGACCTCCCACAGAACCACTCTTCCTCCCATGCAGTGGTGATGGGTCTCACTAAACTAAACCCTCCGACATCTTAGCCTGGATTTGCAGCAGAGTAGCACATGACCGTGGGTGCAGTTTAACTCACGGGTACCTTTGGGATGAGACTCTTAGTTTTATCAACACTACACTTTGGACAAACTGTCACCACTAAATCAAATCTACAAAGTGATCTCAGAATCCTGCTGTTCCTCCAAGCCCTGATTTATCGAAAGCTTTGCAGCCACTGAAACTGGATTTAGAGCTAAAAGCTATAGCCCATGTTTCCATAGTTCCTGTCTCATCACCTTCTGACAGCTCCTGATATAATACACCAGGACCGTTTTTGGCAAAGGAGCATTTAGAAATTTAATCCCCACCAACCAGCCCTCCTCAGTTCTCCTTGGCCAGGATGTAGCAACTCCTAACACACACATCTGTGCTTCTCACTCTCTCCTCAGAAACTAATTCCACTGCTCTCTCCACTCAGGAGCTTCACCATGGGGAGTGATGGATACTTGTTCCCTAGTTTAGGGAGTAGGGGCCCTGAGCTACACTCCTTAACCAACATGTGATCAGCAGCCTCAAAGTGAAAGTCTCCACAATTTAAAAAGAATTAAGAAATGAAAATTAAGTTTTTGTTCCTAAAAAAAAAAAAAGGTTCCTGTTTCTGAATACTTAAGTTTTGTCTTAAAACCACACTGTGTAATTCAGGGAGGTAAGGAGGGGGAAGGGCAAGATACCTGCTATCACCCTGACTCAGTATTTACATGTCTGCACTGTCATTTTACCAGTCAAATTTTGCTTTATAAAACAGAAGAAGTAGATCTTAGAGAAATATGGCCGGTACAGGTCAGGAAACACCTCTATACTGAGCTAAATCAAGTTAGGCACATAATCGCTTTTTGATTTCAGGGAATAAAAGTGTTAGGAAAACACGAACCTGGTGGAAAAGGCGTAACCTCGTCCAGAGGGAGAAAAGGGACAGTCAAGATCATATCCCATCACCACATTTGCAGAACCATAGCGGGCCAAGGAAAAAATACATCTGCTACCCCCTCCAGGAAGCAAGTTAATGTTTTGAAGATGTAGGTTGAGTCATCACATATCTGGGTTAGGGTTTATTCCATGTCACTTCCCTTTAACGAGGCATTGTTCTCTGTCCTCTCCCCTTCTGGCCAGCTTTGGACGTCTCTGTTCTATGGATTTCATTCTGGCTCTATCTGCCTAGCATCTTCCAGATATTTCTTGATGGTTCTGGTTCACTGATGGCATCTATCCTGTTTGCCCTGGGCTCAATCAAGCTATTCCTATTAATACTTTATATATTCCTTTTGTTTCAATAATATTTTGAGAGGAAGGAGAGGTCATACGTATATCCTCCCCACCATCTTGAGATAAAAGCCTTATTACATTTTGAAGTGTCCAGGCTCTTATAGAATAATCATAGCTTATAGTTAATTTGAATAAACCTGTATTTGAGAGTATAATACCTAACTCCTGAATCCAGAAATTAAATGAAAAACATGAAATGTGTGTGGTCTATTGTACTGATACTCAGTGCATGTAAAATGGTGTTCTTTTGGCTAATCACTTATTCCACAACAAAAGGAATGAAGTGCTGATACAGGCTACGACATGGATGAACCTTGCAAACATCCCAAGTGAAAGAAAGAAGTCAGACAAGAAAGGCCCTATAGTCTATAATTCCGTTTATACAAAATGTCCACATTAGGCAAATCCATAGGAACAGAAAATAGATATATTTCCAGGGACTGCAGGGAGAGGGCAATGGGGAAAGACTGCTAGTGGATATGGGCTTTCTTTTTGGGCGATGAAGATGTTCTGGAATTGGACAGTGGAGATGGTTACACAACCTTGTGAATATACCAAGTCCACTGAACTGTACACTTTAAAAGGCTAAATTTTATGGCATCTGAATTATATATATCAATAGATTTAAAAAATTGACTCAAAGCAGATTCGTCAATTTCATTTTATTAAGATTTTTAATGGTGTTTCAATGATTTATATAGTTTTTCAAACTTTGCATTCTAATTTAAGGCATAATCTTACTGTAAGATTACGATCAAACTTTAAGTCACTGAAAGATTTTTGATATGTTTTTTCCATTGTGTAAATGTCATTAAAATATGGAAAGAAGAATCATTTACATTCTTGCTTATCACTAGAATATTAGAAACTGCTCTGGAAGAAATTTCTGAAATAATTATAGCAGGTGACTCAGCCTATAATTATGGCCACATTTATGAAATCATTATATCAGTAATGATATTCTTCCTGAGGGTAGGAACCCTGGCTATTTTGACTCTTCAGCGCCTAGCAGTCTGTGTGGCGTGTAGCAAATATTCAATAAATATTTGTGAACAAACAAGTAGACGATTAGTTAAAGAAGCCAGAATTTCAAAGTCTTCTCTAAAGTCAACTTCCTGGTTGATGGTAAAAGATATTAATACCGAAGTGAGGTAAGACAGAAAGTACATCAATTTCCTAAAATTGACCCTTTAAAAAAAAATCACAAAGTTCCTCCGAAAAACTCATCAAGAACCGCACTGGCTTCCTTACTCATCCAGTGACAGAAAGTTCAACGAGATGAAAAACAACAACAAACAAGAAAAATGACCTTTGCACTCTAAAAGTCTCAAAAAAGAAATTCTCCAGCAAAAAATCTCTTGGATCAAGAAAGGCCCAGAATTTGAATGCCTATTGGGTGGGTGTGGGGCGAAGAGGTTATGGAAAAGCCTTTGAAACTGCAACAATGCTACCAGCTTCAGGGCGGTTTTTCAAAAATAGACTGGAATGTCTCATCCCCTTCCATCGGATACACTTTCGTACCTTGTCTTTAGGGGGGAAGGAAAAGTCATTGTTCACAGTTGTACTAACACTGAGGCCACAGCTAGCGCCTT